GGCCAAGACAGACCCCCCGCACACACACACACACACACACACACACACACACACACACACACACGTGCAGCATTGCTCAGAGGACCCGAGTGCCAGGACCTAGCAGCCTAATGGCTGGATCTGTTTTGGTTAACGGTTTAATTGGGAGTGCGTGTAGCATGACCCACCTCTGAGTCAACTGTCCAGGAGCACTAATGCTGACAGGTGAGGCACACAGGCAGAGAGACATGAAACACAAGGGGCCAGGGTGGAGATGGATGGGATCCCCAAGTCCCCTACTCTGTGTTAGGAACAGCAAGGTCCAAAAGCAAAAACCAAGGTACCAGGAGTTGAGGAGCTCAAGAAACAAATGCTTTTCTTCTAGAACGTTGCCCTGGGGTTGTATTAGGTGTCTGCTTTCAAATGTGGCCTTTAGCGCATCATGCATCTATCAACATCTCAGAGTTTGGGGGAGTCACAAGTCCAAAACGTGTTGCACTAAGTAAAATCAAAACATCTTCTGAGAGACTCCATTTCTCCATACCTTCTCCAGTTCCTAGAGGCTGCCTACATTCCTTGGCTCATGGCCCAGCCTCACTCCCATCTCTGCTCTCATGATCACATCCCTGAAGGCCACAGTGGCAGCCCAGAGTTCAACAAAACCAGGAACTCTGTTGGTTTCCTACCCTGCTCAAGTGCAAATACAAGCTAGACGGAGCTGATTCTCAATATAGACAGTTGCCTGCTTCTCCCCAGTCCCCAAGGCCTTTTCAGGAAGCTTGACTGTAGAAACAGAGACTAGGTGCCCAGTCACTGGCTCCCAGCAGTTGGCAGAAATTACACTCATCGTGGTCCCCAGGAGCACAGTAGAATGCCAGGGTTCAGGGGCCTGGAATCCCACAGGCCTACTTGGTTCACCAACTGCCAGTCATGAGTGCTCATTTTTCTGAGTCTCAGTTTCCCCATCTATAATGGAAGGATTCCTAACACTTGCCATTTAGGAAAGGATGCAAGCTCGTGCAGTTAGGGCTCCTGACACCAAACCTGGCAGCCAGTGGGTGCACCCTGGAAGGAGGATTCAAGTGTTGTTTAACACCAGGAGAGGTTTAGCACTTTCTCTGCACCCAGCTCACCCTGAAAAATGATGCCAAGAGCTCCTCAAAGGGGTGAACTAGATGAGAAAGCAGGTACCAGAAACAGCGGTTTACGGAAAGAGACCCAAGAGGTGTCTTAGCAGCCAATCACCTGACAGAACTTTTCATGTCCTGGCCATGGGACAGATCACAGATACCACTGAAGGCTACAGAAAGCCTGTGTTTGCCAGTCCTCAGGCCATTCTGCAAGGGACACTCTTGCAGTCATCTTATGGGGCATGGAAAGACTCAGAGAGGCCAGTTGCTCTGTGAGTACGGCTGGCTGGCTCACGTTCAGAGTCCTTCACACAAGTAGTGGTCACAGCCAGCCTTACATGGCACAGACCTTTGTCCCATGGCACTACTCCCTCCCGAATCCTGTCCTGTCCCCCACCCTCACTCATGACTGAGCCCATAGTAGGCCCCCTTCTGCTTAGAACTCCACATGCTATTAAGTGATCATTTATCCTTGGAAACTTGTACTAGGCTTTGCTCACAGCTCCTGAGTGCCATTGTTCTTTCAGGAGGAAGGGCAAGAAATGGCCTCAGTAGTGCCATGGATCTCTGGGCTCCTAGAGGAGCATGGGATGGAGGCAATCCCAGGGCAGATGACTGGCAGGTCAGAAAGGAAGCTCCCTATTCTGCAGTGAAGCTGTGCTTGTGCCAAAGGGACTAAGCAGTTGGGCAGGGGCTTATCACAGCCCCTTGGGATCTCCAGATGTTTATGGAGCCCTCCCTTCCTCTTCTCTTTGAAACTTTAATGTGATGGAAGTTGCTAGAGGAGCCAGACATGCCAATTCCCGGGCTCCCCCTGGGGCATATCTTCCAAGGACACCTGGACACGCTAGGGACCCGGTGTCTCAACTGAGTACCCCACGCAGGTCACAGG